TACTGTATCTTCTGTTATGGCTGTTAACTTCTCTGTTTGTTTACCCATTATTTATTAATACTTGAAAGCTTCTGTCCAGTTTCTTGTGGATTTTATGCCAATCGGAATAGTGAGTAAGGAATTTGCATATAAATGAGTATCACACTAGTCTGGCTAGGGATTTGGAGTGACCATTCATTCACATTTCTATGTTGGTGGGTTTAGTATAAACTTGTGTGGTGAAAGTGTTGTCATTGGTTCTCACGTAGACATCAAGGAAAGGGAGTGCACCAGCAATGCCTAGTTCGTGGGTAAAGTAAGCACTGAGTTTTGGATAAGCAGATCCTTTAATTGTAACAATTTCTGGAGGTCTTTCACACATATGAATATATCATCAATATATCTGCAGTAGATGTGAGTTTTCCTGTGGTTTTGAAGATGGTGTCTTCTAGTGTTTCCATATAGAAGTTAGCAAAAAGTTAGCTTGGTTTCTCCATCTATCTGCATATACATGTCTCCCCAAAGGGTTGTGAATGGGGCCTAGTGGGAACTCGTAGTGGCATCCCTACTAAGAGTCCTCTTTGCTAACTTCTAAATAAGAACAAGAAGACATGATCTTGAAAACCACAGGAAAATCACACATCTTCTGCAGATACATCGATAATATATTCATATGTATGAAAACCTCCAGGAATTAATACGATTAACCACTGCACTGCGCAAAGCGCCTTTAGGCGCTCAGAGAGTTGTGCTTTTTGTTTTTTAATTTGGCTATATTTTAATGTTTTTTAATGTTTTCATTACTATTTGTGTTTTGAAATGGAAATAGTTGACTTTGGAAACATTTTAACATTAAATTTACCTGAACATTTGTAAAAATAACAAAAATATGTCCTTGACAATTGCACCAAGACGTTTTTGCCAAAAATAGGTGAGCAGTGCAAGGGTTAAAGGACTACTGTACTTACCTAAAACTCAGTGTTGTTCGTGGCATTTGTGAGACCAAAATTGGAAAATGCAGCAGTTGTCTGGTGCCCATATCTCAAGAAGCACATCAATAAACTTGAAAAGGTGCAAAGGCACGCTACAAAATGGCTTCCTGGACCTGAAAAACAAGAGTCACGAAGAGAGGCTAGAGGGGTTAAATATGCCAAAATTAGAAAATAGAAGAAAAAGAGGTGATATGATCACCACTTACAAAATAATAACAGGAATCGACCAAATTAACAAAGATAAGTTCCTGAAACCAGCGACTTCAAAAACAAGAGGACACAGATTCAAGCTAAGGTATCAGAGGTGCCAAAAATATTAGAAAGGTTACTTTTGCAAACAGAGCGGTAGATGGTTAGAACAGGTTAAGTGAGAAGGTGGTAGGAGGCCAAAACCGTCAATAGGTTCAAAGTGTTATACGACAAAGCATACTGGGAAGACGGGACATCACGAGAGCAGCTTTCATCCTGTGACTACACTTAGGTAATTACTGTATTCTTTCTCATTCTCTCACTCCATACTCAGTTTCAAATGTAGATATGATACGACCCAGTAGGCTCAGAAATCTGTACACCAGTTGCTTGACGGTTGAGAAGCGGGACCAAAGAGCCAAAGCTCAACCCCTTCAAGCACAAGTAGGTGAGTACATGACCTTCCCACACACTCATCAGTACCACTCAACTATACACTTACTTCCTCTCCATTTGTATTGCCATATTACTCAATAAATCTTGGGCATTGAATGTTTAAGAATTCAACATTTTATTACATTGCTAGTATCGTGTAAGGGGGAAAACGTTTTAAGTACTGTATGTATGTTCCAAGAATAGTTTATAATATTTCTTGTTTTGAAAGATAAGACATGCCTCTGTTAATGAATATACAATATATACATTGGAACAGAGGATGGGCATATTTATCTTTTAAGAATATTTTATATTACATCTTGAGATGGAGAAGATAACAATTTCTTAGAATATTTCATATTAGTGTTGTCTTAAGATATGCCAGCATAGTGAACCGGAGATACTTCATTAGTAGCAGTCAAAAAATATGTAGTTTTTATTTGCTTGACAATTTATTTCTATAACTGAACATTAGAACAATGAATGGCATGTAATGTCACAAATAAAAATGAGGAGCACAGGATATTCATGAGTAATAAAAAACTGTATTTAGTATAAATAGGCTATTTGTATTTTGCTATAGACCTGGTAATACTGGTATAGATTTTATTGACCACTGTTTAAAGTGCGCATTACATCTTATCATAACCACCAGTAAAAGTATTGCTTTTTCCTCTGAGAAGAATTCAGTACATTAAATAACCAGTACTACTTGCTATTTATTTTTAGCTATTTTTTATGCTAATTACATTTGTTTATAACTTAAAAATCATTTAAGCATAGGAGAGAATGTAACAGTGATAAAGTAAGATGCACGTCCCCAACAGGTGGGGCTGGACAGTGCTGGGCAGAGGGCTTCTTGGAGAGGAAACGAAGGACCATGGATGGGCATCAACACTGCTAGCAAGATACACCACTGTTCCTTCTGTTCCTATACCACCAATGTTACCACAAACTTGACAAATCACCTGCGAACCCACACTGGAGAAAAGCCATTTTCATGTCCTCGTTGTTCATACTGTGCTACAACAAAAGATAATTTAAAGAAACATTATTTAATCCATACTGGAGAGAAGCCGTTTGTATGCCCTTATTGTCAATATCGTACAACAACTAAAGGGTATTTAAAAAAGCATATGCTGATTCATTCTAACGAGAGAAATTCTGTATACTCCTGCTCATATTGTGGATACTGCACTTCAACAGAAGATGATTTAATACATCATACAGCAATTCATAAGCCATAATGTGTCACTAGTGTGATCCAATATTTTGCCTTTACTCAAAACATTTTGCTTATCTCTTTTTAAATAAAACTAGTGTTCAGAAACATTAGTATTACTGTTCATATATTAGTTCTGCAAACTGAGAGCTGTTCTCTATTCTCTCTCTCCCCTTCCCTCTGCCTCGGTCTTTCCCCACCCTCCACCCTCTGTAATAAGAGAACAGTATAACAGCAGAACAGGCAAGACAAGGCCTGGAAACAATGAGAAATCACACCTTCTATGGGTTTTAACAGCAAAGGGTTAGGTCAGGAGATAACGATGCCATTAGATGTGCTGCGACCTTACCACCAATCTACTCGAGATTACTAGTCAGGATCAAAAGATTCCACAGGACCTCACAGCCTGGAGGGGGGGGGGGCTAACAGCTGAGTGGACAGCGCTTGGGATTCGTAAACCTAAAGTTCCGGATTCGATCCCCAGTGAAGGCGGAAACAAATGGGCAGAGTTTCCTTCACCCCGATGCACCTGTTCACCTAGCAGTAAATAAGTATCTGAAAGTTAGACAGCTGCTACGGACTGCTACCTGGGGTGTGTAACAAAAATGAGGCCTGGTCGAGTACCGGGCCGTAGGGACACTAAACTTCGAAATCATCTCAAGATAACCTCAAGATAGCCCATAGGAGTTGTACAAATGATTGGACCATAGACAGAGGGGGGGGAAGTGAGAACTTGAGTGTGTGTGTGTGTGTAATTACCTAAGTGTAGTTACAGGATGAGAGCTATGTACGTTCGTGGTGTTACGTCTTCCCAGCACTCTTTGTCGTACAGTGTAACGCTTTGAAACTTCTGACGGTTTTGGCCTCCACCGCCCTCTCACTTAGCTTGGAACAAGCTAAGTGAAAATTGTTAAATGTTCCAAGCAATATGGCCAACAAGCCTGTGTATGTTGCATAGGGGACCAGTGCGAGAGGGTTGAACATGATGGCCTCATGCAGATTGGAGTTTAGCTTTGTTTTAAATACTGTACTGATTTCTAGTTCCTATCACTTAACATCATAACTTCTATTACCTCAAGTAGAGACGCACCATTAGGATAACTCAGTAGTTAATTCAATAAACTATTTTTTTAAACCTTGAGTCCTTTGTGTCAGTCATACCCTCCAAACATCCTAGTGGGCTGACCTTCATCACTTTATACAAGTTCCTTGTCCTCTTGACTAGCATCCCTAATTGGTGTTTACCCCTCCCCGGGTGAGACAGTGTTAATAATTATTACCTAATTATCCAAGAGTTCAATATTCCATTCAATTCCCCCCACCCCCCTCTGCTGTGAAGACTTGAGAGTGGAGACTGCTGTGGTTGAGAGTTGGAGCTGAAAGGACTATGATTCTTTTTGGTGAAAGCGTTCCTAATACCTGCATATGCATAACCAGTAGGACATTAAGATATATTTACACTTATCTCGCACCCAGTTCTCTACATCCAGAAATTAATTTAAAATTAATTAAAATCAGGTTGGTGGCAATGCAAGTGTCTAACTCCAAGGTGTTATTTAAGTGATGGGTTATGTAGGTCATATAAGTGGTAGCAGCAAAAACTCTCTCTTAGGATCCCTCTCTCTCCCTCCTCTCATCACAGTTTCTCTCTCTACCCCCTCTCATCACAGTTTTTCTCTCTACCCCCTCTCATCACAGTTTCTCTCTCTCCCTCCTATCATCAAAGTTTCTCTCTCTACCCCCTCTCATCACAGTTTCTCTCTCTACCCCCTCTCATCACAGTCTCTCTCTACCCCCTCTCATCACAGTTTCTCTCTCTACCCCCTCTCATCACAGTTTCTCTCTCTAGCCCCTCTCATCACAGTTTCTCTCTCTCTACCCCCTCTCATCACAGTTTCTCTCTCTACCCCCTCTCATCACAGTTTCTCTCTCTACCTTTCCCTCGCTCCCTCCTTCCCTTCCTCTAAGCTTGCTACTTATGACAGTTGACTACAAAACCGAGTCATTATCAATGTAGGAAAAATCATATTGATAGAAAAAAATCATAGTTATACTGTAATGGCGACAGTTTAACTGTAGCTTAGAGAAAATCTTTTGTTATACCTACATAGGTCAATATTTTTGAAAATGTATTAAGTAATTTTTAAGGATTGTACTATTATGTTTCCTATATTTTGTTGCAGATTTATTTATAAGCCTAAGGAGTGGCACTGACTACAATACTGTACCTTTAAGATTAAACATTACTTGTACAGATGGCTATTTTTATATTAATGACCAGGTATAAATGATGTAAATATTTCATATAAATGAACTCAGAATGTTACTGAAGACTGAAGATTGATGCTTATGGTGGTAATGGTTTTAAAAGTTTGTGCCTTCGTGAATTATTATGATTAGTAAGATGGGCGTCCCCTACAGGTGGGGCTGGAGAGTGACGGTCAGACGGCTGGAGGGAGAGGAACCACAGGAGCCTTGAAGGGCTTCACCAACACCAGCAAGATCCACCAGTGCACCTACTGTACCTACACAACTAATGTTGCCACAAATCTGAGGAACCACATGCGCACCCACACAGGGGAAAAACCCTTTTCGTGTCATTATTGCTCTTTCCGGACGACGCAGAAGAGGAACTTAAAAACGCACATTCGTACTCACACAGGTGAAAAGCCATATGCTTGTGCCCACTGCCCATATCGGTCAGCTTGGAAGGGAAATCTTAATGCCCATATACTGACTCATCGTACTTTAGATGAGTTGGGATCAAACAAAAATGCGAACATGGGACATCAAGGTGGTTTTGTGCAGTAGAGTTATGGCCTCTGAAAATTACTATACTGTTTGATGTTTTAAGATAACTATTTTATAAATTTAAGTAGTTCTCTGTTCCTAAAGTTTCCTCATTTAAATCACCGAGTGCTAATTTTTGTTTTGTGAAAATACGGCCAACAAGTTAGCAAGGCAATTATCATATACATTTACTAGAAAATTTTCTAAGGTTCATAGTACCTAAATGGTATTCAGCATTAAATTATAAAGAAAAGGTGTGTTTTGTAATGCACACATTAAATTCAGTATGCCTAATACAAGGTAGAAAGTAAAGTGAAATATATTTTATTTTTTAAAGTCGCTCTACAACAGGTTTAGTTAATTGTCAAAATAAATTTGTCATTAGTGTAGCCCATCTTCTTGTTTGTATGGTACTGTACTGATAATAATGATGTGGACCATATTGACATAATGGACAGTTAGAAAATAGAATTTGGGACTATTGAATTCAGACAAACCAGAAAACGTTTCATATTTGTGGCTAATTAATATCTAACCTAGACCTAATCCTAGTCCTAATCCTAATCCTAATCCTATCTAATCCTAGACCTAATACATGCTATCATGCTATCTGAGGTTTAATATAGTATATATATATATATATATATATATATATATATATATATATATATTCAACAATTATCACAAAAACACTGATCCAAGTATGCGGAAAAACCACATGTGGTTTACATGTTGTTTTTCCGCGCACACACACACACACACAGATGCCAAAGAAATATAAGAAAATTTACTTTCGCAAACAGAGTGGTAGATGGTTGGAACAAGTTAGGTGAGAAGGTGGTGGAGGCCAAGACCGTCAGTAGGTTCAAAGCGTTATATGACAAAGAGTGTTGGGAAGACGGGACACCACGAGCTTAGCTCTCATCCTGTAACTACACTTAAATAATTACACACACACACACACACACTTACACACACACACAAGTTTTTTTACAAGTTCCTCTTTGTCCAATTGGTTGTGTTCAGAGTTGGGCGCTGTGGGCGTGGGGTCTCTCCACTGTAGTTTCTTTAACAAGTTAAGTGAGAAGGTGGTGGAGGCCAAGACCGTCAGTAATTTCAAAGCGTTATATGACAAAGAGTGCTGGGAAGACGGGACACCACGAGCGTAGCTCTCATCCTGTAACTACACTTAGGTAATTACACTTAGGTAATTACACACATATTATATATATATATATATATATATATATATATATATATATATATATATATATATATATATATAATATATATATAATATATATGTGTGTGTGTGTGTGTATTACGAAAATAAACACGTGATTGAAAATGTGAGTGTCAGACCACGGAGGAAAATTGAAACAGGAATTTCCTTAAGTACTTTTGTATATTAATACATCTTTAGAAGGAGTCTGCAGTCTCCTTCTGAAGATGTATTAATATACGAAAGTACTTAAGGAAATTCCTGTTTCAATTTTCCTCCGTGGTCTGACACTCTCTCTCTCTCTCTCTCTCTCTCTCTCTCTCTCTCTCTCTGTATATATATATATATATATATATATATATATATATATATATATATATATATATATATATATATATATATGCACACTGTACAGTATATACAATGGTCCACATATATAATTACAAAAGGTACTATGTAAACAAGAGGATGAGTTGCATTAAGTACTTAAGGAAATTCCTGTTTCAATTTTCCTCCGTGGTCTGACACTCTCTCTCTCTTCTCTCTCTCTCTCTCTCTCTCTCTCTCTCTCTCTCTCTCTCTCTCTCTATATATATATATATATATATATATATATATATATATATATATATATATATATGCACACTGTACAGTATATACAATGGTCCACATATATAATTACAAAAGGTACTATGTAAACAAGAGGATGAGTTGCATTAATGGTATATTAATATCCATTACAGTTTTGTACTTTTACATCTACAGTAAAGTAGCATATATATATATATATATATATATATATATATATATATATATATATATATATAATATAAAAAATATATGCAATTGACGATCACAAAACACTGATAATTTTTATGCTGAAAATCCACAGAGAAATGTGAAAGGAAGATGAACATTTCGGCCTGATTAAAGCCGTTGTCAACTCCAGACTGACTAGAGGAAAGAGAGGGAGGGTACAGGCCAACACCTGGAACCTGACCAACCCATCTCTAGGGAAAGAATTAATCAGAAACAGGTATAGCTTACACACAGAGATCACACTAACGTGATGCATCAAATGAACAAATCCACAAGGGCCGATAACCCTGTCATAGCTCAGTCGATTAAGGCAGTGTCTGGGATGCTCCCGGATGCAGTATAGCTTAGCTTAGAATAGTCAAAGAGGATTAAGCAGTCAAAGAATAAGGATGAAAGATTAAAGAAAAATCTCATGAACACACAATATATGAATATAATATTGTAATGAAACATTGTAACCCTCCCTATCAGAGTTTTTTCTTAAACTGTTGTGCAGTATTATAACTTAAAAATGGATCAAGTTTGTACATACCAGTACTAACATTAAGAAGATTTGGACACTGATTAGAGCAGCCTCAACCAAATTCCGTTCCACGTAACCACCACAATTGGTAATGCTTTTCGTCCCATTCCAGTTAATAGTGTGATCACATAAACTCATGTGCAGATACAATGCACTAGACATTTGGGCAGTTCTAATACTATAAGCATGTTATGACAACTGCAATTGTAAGGACTTTCCTGTTTGTCCAAGGTACACAGAATCACAATCATTGCAGGGAATCGAATACTCACAACCTGCTGTACCAGGGAAGTTTTTTATTAAATTGGACTTGATCGTACTATTAGTGAACACCAAATTGATATTAAGTTTCTTAAAAACCAGAGACAGTTTTTCAAGTCCACTCGCATAAGGTACCACCAATGAGTTACTAATTTCTGGTTTCCCTTTGGGGACATGATTATAAAACGTACGCTTGGCTTGTCCGAACGAGCAATCCAAAAACATCTTAGGATATTGTAAACTCTTCCCAATTTCATATATTTTAGCAATCTCTTCATAAAAAAACTCAGGGCTGCGTACCCTCAAGGCTTGTAGAAACATTCCTGAAAATACTGCCTGTTTAACTTTATTATGATGATTTGAATAAAAATGAACATACAACCCCACGTTGGTAGGTTTCCTATACACATTAAATTTGAACTTTCTAGTGACTCTATGAATTATAATGTCCAAAAACGGAAGAGTACCATTCTCCTCATTCTCACAAGTGAATTTTATTGAAGGTACCAAAGAATTAAGTTCATTAAAAAAACCTATTTGGTCTTGGTCACACGGCCATAAGCAAAAAATATCATCAACATACCTAAACCAAACTACATTAGATTGATTGAGTGGAATTTGATTGAGTCTGCTCTGATCAGTCAGTGTCCAAATCTTCTTAATGTTAGTACTGGTATGTACAAAGTTGATCCATTTTAAGTTATAATATTGCACAACAGTATGAAAAAACTCTGATAGGGAGGGTTACAATGTCTCATTACAATATTATATTCATATATTGTGTCTTCATGAGGTTTTTCTTTAATCTTTCATTCTTATTCTCTGACCGCTTAATCCTCTTTGACTATTCTAAGCTAAGCTATACCTGTCTCTGGTTAATTCTTTCACTAGAGATGGGTTGGTCAGGTTCCAGGTGTTTCCCTGTACCCTCCCTCTCTTTCCTCTAAAAGAGGAAAGAGTCTGGAAAGTCTGGTGTTGACAACGGCTTTAATCAGGCCGAAACGTTCATCTTCCTTTCACATTTCTCTGTGGATTATCCATATATATATATATATATATATATATATACAGTATATATATACAGTATATATATATATATATATATATATATATATGTCGTACCTAGTAGCCAGAACGCACTTCTCAGCCTACTATGCAAGGCCCGATTTGCCTAATAAGCCAAGTTTTCATGAATAATTAGTTTTTCCACTACCTAACCTACCTAACCTAACCTAACCTAACTTTTTCTGCTACCTAACCCAACCTAACCTATAAAGATAGGTTAGGTTAGGTTAGGTAAGGTAGGTTAGGTTCGGTCATATATCTACGTTAATTTTAACTCCAATAAAAAAAAATTGACCTCATACATAATAAAATGGGTAGCTTTATCATTTCATAAGAAAAAAATTAGAGAAAATATATTAATTCAGGAAAACTTGGCTTATTAGGCAAATTGGGCCTTGCATAGTAGGCTGAGAAGTGCGTTCTGGCTACTAGGTACGACATATATATATATATATATACAGTATATATATATATATATATATATATATATATATATATATATATATATATATATATATATATACAGTATATATATATATATATATATATATATATATATATATATATATATATATATATATATATATATATATATATATATATATATATATATAATATATAAATAAGGAAGTACCACCTCTGGCTGGAAGAAGGGGACCCTTAGCCTCAGAGGATACCACACATAATGCATTAGAGGGAATGTTTAGATCCCCTCCAGTATATATATATGTGTGTGTGTGTGCATATATGACAATGTTGTACTTAATAACCAGAATTGCATTACTTGGCTGTGTAAGCAAGGCCCACTTTGCCTAACAGGCAGAGTGACTTCATATTTTCAGATATTTCTTTTCAATTTGGTTTATTCAAATTACTGTTATGTTATTTTAAGAACTTGAATTAGTGACTTAATTAGGGTTGACGAGGTTGGTTATGTGAATTATGTTAGGTTTGATAACATTTCTGTTACTTTTAACTCCAAATTAATATGATTTCAAAACATATATAATGTAATTGTTAGCTTTACCACTCTCTAAGAAAATCAATATCTAAGAAAATAATAAAAAAATAATATTGATTTTTTTATTATTTTCTTAGAGAGCGATAAAGCTTACAATTGCATTATACAGT